AACGAAAAGCATAGCTACTTCCTAGGAGTCCAAGAACAAAACCAAGAGAGTCATGTGTTTGAACGACTCTGCCATGAGAATCCTTACACCAAAATGCAGGTTGCTTTCCTGCTACTCTACTAACAGAGAGAGCAAGAAAATGGAGGACTTTGCTTACCCCAAACACTAAAGATGGGGAGCCTCCTTCGAGATTTAGATTAACAATGATGACTATCTCTGCCATCACCAACACCAATAATGGGATGATCGTAAGTGAATGAATACCCAAATCATCCCACAACCTAAAAGCAACAGGAAAAGCAAACAAACCTCTCCCCGCAAAACCACCCTCCTGCTACAAACACCAATTGTAGGCTAAACCTTTTGCCTGCACAAATAACACTACCCCCTGGAAAACAAAACACAACATACCTCCCAAACTACCGAGGGGAAATATGCATTTAATCCTAAAGCTTTCCCTCACCCGAAGACTACTAATTCTTAGGGAAACATAGTTCCATTCCGAAAAGGCAACCCAAAGGACCACAAACCCAACAAGCCAGACACTCCCTAAATTTACATCCTTTAAACCCAAGGGGAAACACGACTAGCCCAACTCCAAGAACAACAACACTTCAAAAGCTTCCATAACTAGAACTAACCTATGAAACTCCAACTCATGAACATGAAGAGCAAGAGTATTAGTTAAATACACAAACCCAAACAACAAAATGAACAAACTATGCAAGAAGAACACGACAAAACTAAAGCAAAAACATAACTGAAACTATAATAAAACAACTGATTGAAGTAAAGAAAACCAACTAATACCCACAAATCCACTCATGAGTCCCGGAGAAGCAAATAGAACCAGTAGGCTACCTCATCAGAAGAATCCAAACTGAACACGACAACTAGTCATCAAGGACAAGGAAAGAAGACCGCCTCCCCTGAATCAAACCTTAGATTAAGGGAGAAAACCCTAGTCTTAATTTCACCTTTACCTTCGGGAAACAATTAACCAAATTCCTTTTAACGACGGTGTTAAGAATAGCCTTGGCTCCTCAATTCGTTGGAAAATTAGATTCTTAAACACTTGACGACACACAAAAACTTGATTGAATCCCCAATGAACTCGAAAAACAAAACCAATTTGCAACTCCCCTGTTTCTTTGCTTCAAAACGCCAAAATTGAAAACAAAAATTAAACTAATAGTAAATAGTAGCACTCGTCGGCGATGGCTAAGAGAGGGGCGCCGATCGCCGGCGAGTAAGGGTTGAGATAAGTGAGGAAGCGGTGGGGCAGTGGAAGATAAGAACAGGTGTTTCTAAAGAGAGAAGCTAACTTCAAGTCATTAGTTCTAAAGGGCAATGTATACGGATAGAAATGTAAGATTATGGGTAAATTCAAGTTTTTCTCTGAGATAAATTTGTGAATATATCTCCTCTCACAACCTTATCATTTTCTTTTATTTTTAAATGATATAAGTAAAATAATAAAGTGGCATAGAAACCAATGCATAAAGTTGTGAGATAAGATAAACCGGAATGTTAATCTCTGAGATTAACTGGGGCTCCCTCTAAGTTTACAAAATAAAATAACATAAAATGAATTGTATGAAGCCCAAAAAATATAATCAGAAGAATAATTTATCTACTACATAATTGAAATGGATGAAAATAGAGAAGAAGGCTAACCTTAAACTCTCATAGTTTTTCTCTATAATTGAAATTTTGAAATGTAGAGAGACAGTGTAGTTGATGAAATAGAGATTGAAGATGTAGAGAGGAAGCGTGGTTGATGGAATGACGATATATAGTTGTAGGCAATAGTAGTTTTACCCGTAAGTTGATAAACACATTTAACGGAGTACTCATGCAGTTACCCATTTACCGATAAACACACTTGTTTAGTTTTTTATTTTTATTTTTATTTATTTTTATTTTTTTTGAAATTTAAATTAGATAGAAAACCCATTTACTGATAAACACACTTGTTTTTTTTTAAAATAATAAATTAAATTAAATTAGATAGAAATGTTGGAGGGATTTGCTAATTAGGAGAGACCTCATCAACTGACTCTTAAATCATACGGAGTATAATAGATTGTTGGAGTGATTTTATGTTTCGACAGGAGTGAATGAGGGCAAAGGATTGAGGTTTTTGTTGCAACCTCATTGAAAGTTACTCTATAATCTATTAACTATTACTAAAACAAAACATGCTGACATCATTAAGGGACACAGGTCAATTTCTCATGAAATTTTTTCCCACCAAACCTATTTTTTGACATAATCCTTTTTTCTCTTTCTCTTTTTTTTTTCTTTCTAAGTTCAAAACTAAATAAATACAAGTACAATATTTCTATCAAAATTAATTAATGAGATTATAATTACGAGTACACATTTAATGAATAGAGAATATTAACAACTATTTTAAGCAAATAATAACTTTTAATCCGTGCAACTGATAAGTGGTTTATTTGATCGCTTGTTGTGGTGATTTTAACCCGGTTTTGTCATCTTTTCCCCTCTTTCTAACCCTTTTTTGTATATAAAACTTGCATTTTGGCTTTGCTTGCCCTTTGTATGTGTTTGTCCATGAATTGCAGGTTATGACTAAATTTGACAAGCAAACAAAGCTCGTGGAAGAAACTAGAGCAAGAAATTAATGAAGGGAGAGGCTGCTCCTAAAGGAGCAGGCGTGCACCTCTCCAGGAGCAGGCGCTCCTACAAGAATGCAACATTCTGCCCAATTTCAGAGTCTAGAAGGAGCGGGTGTGCGGTTCCTTCAGAGCGGGCGCTCCTGATATTGGCACCATAATTAGCCACTTTTTGAAGCAGGGAGGAGCGCCTCCTCCCATATCGAGTTGAATCTGCCTCCATCTAAGAATATTAGGAGCGGGCGCTCCTCCCTGTTGGCTTGAATCTACCACATGTTGATGAATAGGGGAGCGGGCGTGCAAAATTATGGAGCGGGCGCTCTTGACTGGGAATCCGGGTATACTTTTGACGGATTTCCCTATGTAATTCGGGGAGTATAAATACTACCTCTTTGGCTCATTTTAAAATAGTAGCCTTAACATAGTTTTTAGCAACTTCCTCTTAGTTTGTAACAATCATCTTTGGTATTTTAGCTTATAAACTCTCAAATTAATCATTGTAGTAGCAAGTTTCAAAGATCATTTTCAGAAATTCAGCATTTGTATTCAACATTTGAAGCTTCAATTAGTAACTTCTTTCACCTTTCTCTACTTATTTTCTGATTTTATTTGTTATTATAAGTCTTTTGAATCTCTTTTGATCTTGATAATTTGTTGTTGCATGTTAGTTTTAACCATAGTGAATCACTTTTCCCCAATTTTAGAATTATTTAGAACCCTAACTTGGAACTTTGCATGTTGCTCACAATTAATTGTGAGTAGTCCTCTTAGCCAGGGGTTGGGTGAAACTCAACCTAATGGTTAGTTAAGTGATTTTGGGAGAAGTATTGATGTTTGAATTGTGATTAAATTGATTACATGAGATTGCTTGTTAGTTCTTTATGATAGGAGTAGCTACCCTTGATTTTGGGCTTGATGGCATGATATGCTTGATTTGACATGGGAATGTAGATTAGGTATGTCATTACTTATTGCAAATTTGATTATGTATCTCCTATTGCTAAACTAATGAGGAATCTAAGTTTAGGAGTGTGAGTTGTTTTTTTAATTGCATGAAGTTGGTCTTACATGTAGTCCTTGCTAGGGGTGTACAAAAATTGGCCCGGACCTGAAACCGGACCTGAACCGACCTGAACCGGACCGGACCTGACCCGGACCTGTTGATTCAGGTCCGGTCCCGGTTCTTAAAAATCCAGGTTCTCGGTCCCGGTCCGGACCCAGTCCAAACCCGGGGTTTTCAGGTCCGGACCTGAAACCCGGGAAAATCGTAATTAAAAAAAAAAAAAAAAAAGAAGAAAACCAAACTCTGAAAAATTGAAACTGAGTTTTCGTGGACTTATTTGTATTTTCGGTGGACTCATTTGTATTTTTGGTGTTTGAGAATCGGGACTTTATAGACTTTATGTAGTTTTGTAATTGATAATTTTGGTTTGTATGTAATTATTAAATTATGCAACAGGTCTAAAAATCACAAAACAGGTCCATATGCAGGTCCATATGCAGGTCCAACAGGTTTTGTAGTAAAAAAAAAAAAAAACGAAAAAGACACAAAACAGGTCCATTCAGGTCCAAACCCGGACCGGACCTGATTTTTCAAGTTTGGCCCGGAACCGGACCTGTTAATTACCCAATTCAGGTCCCCGGTCCAAACAGGTCCGGTCCAGGTCCGGTCCGGTTTTGGACCGGTGTACACCCCTAGTCCTTGCTATCTATTGTCTCTATTTGCTCCCAATATGCTTGATTGCCATGGTTGAGTGGATCCAACTCCCTGGTGCTTTTATTTACTTGATTTAGAACAATAGCTTGTTTGTCTACTTGACAAACCCCCAACCAACATTAGTCTCCAAACTAGCTTGCGTGTTAAGATCTTTAACAATTATATCCCGTTCCTTGTGGACCGAACTCTTACTTATCATTGTGCTTGGTTTGTGATATGTTTGCTTATAAATGTGTTTGAATGAGTGTGAAATGTGCGACCGTTCTAACACCCATCAGCAACGCACGGGACTAAACTAGTTATATAATAGATTTTACCCTAAAATTCCCAAAATACTCATTATTTACCCCAAAAGTACAAAAGTTATATCTTTACATCCCTCTAATAAAACAGAACAAGTCTTAGAAAACAGCAATGGAAGGGAAAATCCAAGTTATGGAGGAACAAGAAAAGGCTCCATGTAACCTTATCGGAGGTGATACTTCCTACAGGCTACATGTAACCTCCACCAAGTTAAGTAGTATGTGAAATTTGGTTCTAGAAGTGTCTTGAGTTATGTGGTCTTGTTTTCCCATGATCATCATTTGCGCGCGAAGCAATTGTATTAACAAGATTTATATTACTAGAAGATAAATCATACATGTAATAAATGTATATATTGAATTATATCTGCAGGAAGTAAATAATACGGAGTATCATAATGAATATTATGGGATAAGGTGGAATATTGAATGGCAAGATGGGAAAATTGTGGTATAACTTGTCCCAAGGAAGAAATGCCATGAATGGTAACATGTACAAGCATGGAAGTTATCTCCTAAAGGAAGAGATGACGTGAATGGTAAAATGTACAAGCATGGAGGCTAATTCCTACAGGATGGCCGCAAAAGTCTTGTTAGTGTATGCATCAGCTATAGATATACCAGCATCAACATCGGAGCTTTTCGTCAATAGAAATCACTGATCCTCAGACAAGTAGCTATCCTAGCTCTTTCAATCCGTAACTTCAAGCTATCGTAAGAAGATTGTTCTCAAACCCATTGTTGTTTACTATCGGACGAAGGGGGTCAACTTGCCAGACACCATCAACAATGAACTTTATCTGTGATGTACAATAGAAAAAAAGATGCAAAAAATTAGTCAAGATTTGCTTGAATATTTCCCTTCATATTTTTTAGGTGGGGGAGGGGGTTGCAGAGGAGAAAGAGCCTGAAACATTAGAACTGTAGCGATATCAACCTCGTATTTGCCAGGATATAGCTTCAAGCACAAAGAAAAAATGCCAGTACTTGACCTTGTCATCTTCCTCTGTGATGCATTTGCACAAAATTAGTTTAACAAAAAAAAAAAAGTTTCAGCATTCATACTAGATGAGGATGCAAAGTATACATGCAAAGCTATTCAAGCATTAAAGGTATATAGTGCTGCTACATCAGATTCAATTTTCAGCAAACATTTCACTCAGACTTGACGGAGTTTATTCACTATCAACTGGCGACTGATATTAGCGATTTACTCTCTGAAGCATATTTACATGTCACAGATTATGACTTCGACTGTTATCACTGATGCCAATGAATATGAAGATAGGAGAATAGCAAATGCCCTTTTCACTCCTTCCCCCTTCTCCCTAGTCACATATCTAAGAAATAAGTTTCATTTCCAGCAGCAGGAAGTAGCAAATATAAGAAACTGCCATAAGAATACATCAAGAAAGAAGAATAATCCCAGGAATGACACCACTGAATGCTATACACGTAATTTCAGTCAGTTGTAATGATCATGTAGTCATGTATGCCAATTGAAGTTTAGGGCATGCCTGGATCCCTAGTAATAGGGGAATAAAAGTTACTGCAGGAAAAAATCGGACATTTTTGAAATGCCTGGATTGGAGATAGAATTGTCAAGGGATAATATATTCCCCTCAAAATAGGGGTAATAGTTACCCTAACCCCCGCTAGCGTAACTTTTCCCCTCTAAAATTTCATCCAGCTCCCTTCTCCTACCTCACATCATTCCATGATTCCATCTCATTCCTCCTTGCCTTGCTCTTCCTCCACCACTACCCCCTGACATAATGCCAAACGTGAAGAATTGACATAATTATCCCCTTAATTGATCCACCAGTAAAACTCAACCCATAAAAATTAACCCCTTACTTATATCAGAGAATCCAGGCAAGCCCTTATTCATAAAAGCACCATTTTTATCTAGACATCTTGACAGTCTAGCTGATTCTTCTCAATGAAAGTTTCCGTGTTGCATTAAAAATTAAGAATGCTCAATCCAATCTCAATCTGTTAGAGAATTGACTTTATAAGAGTAAAAATAAAATAAACCCATACCTGAGTAGCCCATCCATCAAAGGAGCCAGCCAGTAGCACCTCTGATCCAGAATTAGGCCAAACTATGCAGGTAGTACGAAGAAGTTGGAGAGCTCTGCGAGCATCATTAATCCTTTTTTGCTTCTTGTCTAATATATTCTGAGCATCTCTGTAGTTAGGAAACCAATACAGCAATATTAGATTTGTTTATTAAGCATACAAGAAAGAGCAAAAGAGAAGAAAAAAGGCCACAAACACTGATGTTAGTTTTTACAAGGTACATACTGCAGTTCTATATAATAGTATGATGATAACTCATTGGCTCATTGCTGACCAGATCACATCTTAGAGGCATGGAATGACGGCTACACTACAACACAATGTTAATTAGTAGGAAAAGTTTCTAGCAGGACAGAGTTGAATCCAAGAAGGTTTGTTTTAGGTTATAATCAATTTGAGATGACACCATCTGATGGCGAATTGACAAAACAAGAAATATCAAGTAAATAAGACAGATTCCCCATGAGAAACTTATGTGCTTTTCTGCTTTATCCTAATTCTAAAGATCATTACGTCCATAGTTAAGTACTCACCAAGCACCACTCAGAAAACAAAAGGTAAAGGAAATTCAAAACCAAACAAAAAAAAAAGGTGGGAAGACCATGCTCACATTATTGCTAGTGACATCTTCCCTTCTAATACTGCTAGCTTCGCACGTAGAGTCCTCAACTTGTCCTGCGCATTCATCATTTCATTTTCCTGGAACTCTGAAACATCAGAAAGTTGCCTCAAGTCTTTGGATAGATCCTCCCTTGCCTGATATGAAATTCAGATAGGAGCTTTCAGAAAGTAAACTTATTCGGTAAATATATCAATACAAGCCCTTGAAAGGTTTACAGCATTTGAACTAATGTCAACATTGGCACCCTAAGGATAGAGATCCTACGACTCCTACTGCAGCCTAGAGAGAGAGAGAGAGAGAGAGAGAGCTCCTTTTGATATGGACAGTCCTCATCAGTTATGAACTATGTATGTGTTGCTATACCCTAAGGTTGGCAAAGTGTTGAAAAGTATAGTCAACTTCTACCCTCATCAATCAATATAGTTATATACTATTACAATCAAGTCCCTGTCATGAAGCACCCAACAAATATGGGATTTAAAGAGTGAAATGTATGCAGGCTAACTATTGCAAATTACAAAAGTTCTTGTTAGAAAATAGAAAGCAATCTTGTAACGTGATTAAGAGTATATGGTTTGGGATAGGATAGCGAAGAGACTCATCTAATCATTAAACAAGCTACACAAACCCAAGAAACATATAAGCAATGGTTATCATAAGAGGTTGTTTCATGTAGACCCTAAAGCGGCTAAAAGGCAATTGATGAGTGTATAACAATACGTCAAATAAAAATTAGAGGAGTAGTTATTGAGATTATTTTTTATCAAGTTCTCTGCATCCCAAAGTTGTTGAAAGTTACTACCCTTTTACAAAACTTTTTAATAGATTCAACCTAGCCATTCTCCAATATGAATATATTAGTTGATTCAATGGTCAAAAGAAAATATTGAAGCTCTCAGTAAGGGAAAGGAGAACAAAGGAGGGTAGAAAGGAGGATGAAGGTTATAAGTTAAAAGGAAGGGGCAAGTAAAAGCTAAAGAGAAACCTTTGTGTAAGTCTAACCATCATAAGACCACTTCTGTGAGTCATTGCAACACATGACCCTATCCCAATGTCTCTCTCACCTTGGCCCAACCCGCCTATAAGTTGGTCTTATGATGGTAAGAAGATTTTATTTAAAAAAGTTCTAAAGTTGAATGGCATATGAGCACAAGCGAAGTATGACCGTCAGACGAAAGTCCGGAAAATAAAGGGGGAGAGGTAAGCTGACCATCAGTCCACCAAGTATGGAAAATTGAGGAGAAATAGGAAAAATGGTTTCTATTAATTTATTTAAATTTCTTACAGCTTTCCATGTTCTTAAAAAAATAAAAATAATATTATAAAAAATAAAAAATAAAAAAAAAAGGAAAAAATCTGAAAGTAAGTTGATCCACTGGTTCATATATACTAGATTGCAACTTGGCAGATTAAGTTAGACAACATATCGATTTTTTGGAGTCAATCTTCAGCCCTAACCTGAAACCCTCTTACCTTAGTGTGTGTAGATTACCATTATTGATATTAGAACAGTATTAAAAAGGGATAGTTATGGGGGCAATATATCACTGTTTGTCTGTATCAAATGAGTGATGGCAGAAAGCTGTCATCCTGAATACAATGGCGTGAGGAATTTACAACAGTTAAATTGAAGGAAAGAGGAGCCGAAAGAAAGCAGATTGGACAAGGAGCCAAGGTAATGGAGCTGGATTTTTAATTTGTTGTTCTTAGCTCATATGGTAATTCCAGCTTCGAAAGATAAAGTGATTTTACTTTTCTATTTTTGGGAAGGGGTCCAACTCATTAATAGCTCAATTACATCACCAAACTCTACCTAAACAAAGTTACAATTATAATCAAAGAACCTGCCACATCTAGATATTAATTGACTGAATACGTTTCTTAATTACCATTTCAGACTCATAAAGCTGGCAAAAGCCAAAATTTGAATCCTCCCCACCCCACCTCCCTTATTTCTAAAATAGCATGCAACTTTCATATCAAATTCCAACAAATCAATGCAAATAGAACACGCCAATATCGATCCAGCTGTAGATTGAGTTTCAGTAATATTTCCATGTGGGCAGCCTTACCTCTAATAGGTCGATACTCTATAGTCTATACTACTAAAGAGGTTTTGTGAAAGGACAGAGAGCAAGACATCTACCTGAATGCAACCTTTGCAGCGTAACTGGTATAAATTACTTATAATCATGGAATCAAGTAAAATTAAGGGCACCTAGATAAACACAATAGGGAAAGAAACCCAACAGATAAGACCTTCTTGAAGTTTTACCAAAAGACCTAGGCCCCATTTGGTTTGATGTAAAATGTTTTTATGGAAAATGATTTTCCCATTTTCCTTTGTTTGGATTGTGAAGGGGTGGAAAACAAATTTCCCAATGGTGGAAAATTGCATCCAAACATTTTCCTTAAAAAAACAAGGGAAGCCACATTTTCCTCCCTCCTCCTTACCTCCCTTTTAATTCCTTCCTTCTCATCATCCTCACATTCCCATTCCTATTTTTTACTTCTCTTGAACTTTTCTTGTATGCAACCAAACAAAGGAAAACTAATTTACAATTATGTTTTTCCTTAAAAATATGTTTCCATGAAAACTAATTGTCATTGAAAATGTTTTACATCAAACCAAACGGGGCCCTACACAACCAAAGGTCTACATTTATACAGTATCTGTGGCTTTCCATGGATAAAATTCCAAGATCTTTGACGTAAAATATAACGTAAGGTCATTATAATTATAAACCATACCTTTCCAGAAGTGTCGATGGTGTTTGACCTTAATGACTGAAGTACTGATGATAGTTCTCCTTCGAGATGCTGAAGACGAGTTTTCGTATCACCTTGTGTAATTTCTCTATAGTTAGAATCTAAATTTTTAGTCTCGTCTTGAGCTCCCCTAATATCATTAGTCACTGCACCTATTCCACCCATGAACTTATCCACTGTACCTCGTTTAGAAGTTTTGCCGAAGTCAATTTCACCAGCTGAGCTTAATTGGACCGGAGGATGATTTTAGTAATTATAGAGGTTAATTAACACAGTACAAATCTAGAGTACTAGCTTCCCTGCTGGGCTAAGGGATAACAATACCTTCAAATTCTGTGTCTGAAAAGCCAGCCCTCTGAATACTCCATGATCTCCATGCATCTGCCTTCATACTTAATCTATTGGAATACGATCTATTCAACCCATTGCCACTGATCAGACGTCTATCTTGGCTCAGTGATGCAGGTTCACTTCTTTGAGGATGGCTACTGTCTTTTACAACGTAAAAACTACATGTCACATGATAGTTTAACAGCTTCTACAGAACAAGAAATGACATTCATAATGCAATGTACAGATCAACCATTTAAATGTCACATGATAGATTAAGGTAAACATTTTCAGGCAACGAAAGACTCTCCCTCCGCCCTGTGACCCCCATAACCACCTGCCATCCATCAACCCCTCCCAACATAAAGCATCTCTCAATGGAATGATGAATTTATACATAAAATGATACTGGATCAGAAAATGAGATATTCAAAAGCAAGGAACCAGAGAATTTAATAGCTAGTCAGAGTTCTATGGAATTGAAAACATCAATTAGCTAAAACGGAGCAGAATTAGAAACAAAGTCAACTCACCCACATCCTTCCTTGTTCCCTTAGTTTGTTTATGGTCACCAGTACCTCCATTGACATTATCTACCTCAGTACCATTCTTCCCCAACTTGAAACCAAAACTCAGGTTTCTCTGCCTCTCCAATCGATTCAATATACCCTCAATCCCGCTCTCATCTTCTGTGGCCAGTTCTCTGCACACAAAAAGTTTTACATTAGGACTATTGCATTGTCTCTAGCTCTCTTGTCTCTCAATCTATATGACAAAACCCTGCATAATTAAAATTTGTTCTTGCCGTTTTCAGACTTCAAAGACTGACCCCTCCAACAAATTTATTTATAACAGTTCGTACAATTACCAATCCACCGAAACAGATTACATTCAAGAGAACCTTAAATTGGGTTTTTAGGTGATTCACTATTATAATATACCAAAATAAATGGGTTTTCATAAGGAAAATAAACAGAAAATTGAAAGTGACAGAATTAAAAAGTGCAAAACAGGAAGAATGTCCTCACCGTGATCGACCAGAAGACGAAGGCGCCGGCGAAAAATCGCCCATAAAGGAAGTCCCTGCAAAAGGCCTTTCTCCATTAGCATCTGACCCACTTCTTTCCTCATTAACAGAACCAATTTTACCCTTCTTTTCCAAGACTACCTCCATTTTACTAGCTAACCCATTTTCATTAATCCAATTTTCACCTTCATCCTCCCAACCTACTGTCATCCACCCACCTCTCTCCATTATTGCATCAAGCAAATCCATCCTCCCTGCATCAATCAACTCCTTTTTGCTAGGAAACTTCTGGGGTTTCTTGGAATTTTTCATGAAATCCAATACTTCAAGCTCTAAAGCTGGGTCACCTTCAACTTCCCAATTCTTGCACTTTCTTACAACCCCACAAAACCCAGAAAACTCAAAGAAGAACTGATTCAGCAGCTTCTTCTGCTTAAATTGTTTGGTCATGGAACGAAATGGGTGTTCTCGTTTCAATGGACTGATCACAAAAACAACAGGAAAACAATTGGGTGAGTTTAAATACGAAATGGGTTGATGAGAAAAAAGCGTTAAATTTCCAGAAGAAGCTGCTGCAATGAGTGAGACCATCGTTCAGGCATTTCGTCGAACACCTTGTGTGCAATATTTTTACAGGCTATCCTTACAATTGAGATTGAAAGATTCAGATCATAAATGAACGAAAGCTTCACCGGAAAGATACCCAGAAAAACGACAACCCAGTTTAGAGGACCAAAGCTCGCAAAACAAAGATTTTTGATATGTCAAGATCAAGAAAAACGCTGTTTCTCTCTCCTCTTTCCCTCTCCCAATGTGCGAGAGAAAAAGAAGAAGGATTTCTTGAGATTGGTTGTGTAATCAGAATCTATAATTTGTCAGATTTTGGTTGCACTGTAATTAGTTGATGTAATGATGTTGTTCATCCTCAAATTTCTCTTAATAGAAAATGTAAATTCTCATTTTGAGGATTACTTTTACTAAAAAAAAAAAAAAAAAAAAAAAAGGTACTTTCTTGATGTTTAATTTCAAATTTAAAATTCTCCTGCCTTAATTTTGTTGCCGTGGTCATATAAGTTGGCATTTGCGTTAAATTTTTTTTTTGGCATTTTTAGGTGTTTTTATGGTGTTTTTTGTGTTTTAATAAGTGTTACACTTTATCTGGTACATAATTTTAGGCATTAAATTATATTAAATAAAATAGGAGTTAAGTCGGGTAATTTGAGTATTAAAAAATTGTTAAAAAAAATATAGTGGAGTTAATAATTTATTGAAAAGTAATGAATGTGAGAGGAAAAAAATAATAATAATTCATAGTAGATTTAAGTGGCGACCATAAGAGAAGAAAAATATGATATTAAAATGTAGTTTTTTGCCAACAAAAAAAAAATAAAAAATAAAAAAGTGTAACACTAATTAAAACACAGTTGTATTTGATAAGTGTAACACCTATTAAAACACATAGGGATTATGTTTATTGCAATTCTTGAGCAAAGTCTCAACATGAGACTTGCTCTAGATTATTGTGATAAAGACATCAAAAACCTATAAGAGTCTTGCATGTAGTTTTGGAAATTAAAACTCATGTCAAGACTCTTGTGTGGGGAACAATTGCTGATATTTTTTGTTGGTTGCCAATGGGGATTTGACACCTCACCAACCAAAAGAAATAATTAAAAATATTTAATAAAATAAATAGATATATTTTTAAAAGGATAAGTGAGTCTTAGGATAATGTGTGAAAGTGGAGAAAGTTTTGTATGAATCTGAATAATGAAAAAAATATATTTAAAAGTTACTAGAAAACTGATGTGGCAGAGTTTGGAGTACAAGTATGAGTTTAGGGATAAACTCACCCTTAAGGTTGGTAAATTTTGAATTCGGGTTATTTAGGGTCAGTATATTTCAATTCGAAAAAAATTGAGTGAGTCGGACTCACATTGAGTCTAATATATCTGACAATAATAATCTAATACCTGACAATAATATTCTAATATATGACATTAATATTCTAATATCTAACATTAATAATCTATCATCTTTCAATGTGGGATAGTTGGTAAAATGCCAAAAGAAAGAATTAATTTAATTCTAAATTAAATTAAAATCGCAAGGCAATCATCAAACAACAAGTGGCACAAGGTGAGCAAGGGGTTAAGTGAGGACCACAAGGACAACCCATATAGCCTCCTTGTTCCCCAAGCCACCAAACCCACCAATCACAATAAGGCAAGACAGGTCAATATCCTTGGACCTTTGTGGCTTTGGTTGGGCCGGCCTGCACGCACCGCAAGCCCTCCGCTAGCTAGCTGGGTTGTTATGCGCTGCTGGCTGGCTTGCCGCAAGCCCAACGGCCTTGCCCGCAAGAACCAGTAAGCCTCGCTAGCTAGCGGGCTGCTGCGTGCTGCTAGCAGGCCATGCGGATGCGAGTTTGCAACAGCATTAGACTGCCTAGCACGCTTCGCCTTGTATGGCTATTGGTGGCCTAGTATTAGCACCACGTACTCGGCCAGCAATCCTAGCTTGTGCGTGCTCACACCAAGCTCGGCTTGCTGCGAGCACCTTGCGGCATGAACCTTCGCTAAGCATGCTAACCTACCTAGCCCTCGTATGGCTAGGCCATTGCGAGGCTGGGATTTTCATGCACGTTGACTTGTTGTTTGACTGATTTTTCCGTCTAGTAGATTCCTAAATTCGACTTGACTTTCGACGCTCGGCTTCGACGCTCTAAGCTCAGAATCCGACGTCTTAGTTCGTAAAATCTCTATCAACTCATCTAATCCTTCGGATTAATACGTCGCTTCGGTTCGGTTACACGATTGGGTGTGACCCGAAGGGGGTTCAGTCAAGATTAAGCTGTAATATTAATTATACATTAATATTACTGATCGGAAGCGACCTCCAGCTAGGCATTCCGATCACTTGACCTCACTGAATAATTAGCTTTCCTAATTAGTTCCGAACCCTCTATCGGAATAATACACTTATTCGAAGGACGTATATATATATATATATATATATATATATATATATATATATATATATATATATAAAATCCGGTTTTTATAATAAAATAAATGGATAGTAAATTTTATCCAAAATAGTAATTGAGTTTTGAAAATGTTTTTAGCACCAAAATTCAAATATCATATTGATTGGCTCCAAAATTTAAATAATAAACTAAATTACTAAAATACCCTCTTTAGAAAATACTAATTAATTAATTAATTAGAAAATACATTTCAAAAATTCAGGGTATTACAATTGTTAACCATCCTTAGTTGCTCATTTCCAAAGTCTTTACTGCCTGTGCTCATTTCTTATCTCATACTCCACATCCTGCTCGACACTATTCGGGTCAGAACTCCTATGGCCTTCGTGGACTACTTCGTGCAGACAATCTGTTTTCCATAGGGTGCAGCTGGAAAGTTGGTAATGGCAAATCCATACTTGCAGGGAACTCTAGCTAATTGGGTCAACGGTACTATTCAAACCACGAATCCTCCTAGACACTGCAAAGGATTAGACGGTAAATTTCTTTATTCATCCGTATACTCTATCCTGGGATGTTGACAAAGTTCAGTAGTGTTTCCAATCCACGGACACTTCCGCAATTCTTGCTATGGAAGATCTTGCTGTAAATGAAACTGACTTTCGGTTTAGGGCGCACTGTTTCAAGAAAATATTCAGTTAAGACGGGTTATGCACTGCTCATACAACAACTTATTCCTTAAACTGTTAGTCCTTTCTGGAAAATCCTTTGGTCCCTTCATTTACAACCAAAGTGGAAGCTATTCTTATGGAAGATACTCTATAACGGTTTAGCAGTTAAAAGTGAACTTCGGCGAAGGGGGGTCCCAATCCAAGAAGTGTCTTGTGACCTTTGCAGTACACAAGTCGAAGAATTTGACCAGCTGTTTAAGGATTGCAATATTGCAAGAGCAGCATGGAGTGGTGACAGTTTGGGCATCCACTCACAAATACATGGACACCTTTCTCTCTCATATTGGATCTAAGATTATATCCGTCTTTTCATTAGTCAGGATGTGATTTCGAGTCCCAGCATTAGCACCTTCGTTGGTACTTTTTGGGGTCTTTGGTTATTCAGGAATAGCAGGGTGTTCAATCCTGATACGCCTATTACACAACTAGTTGAATTACAAATTTTGAACACCCACTATTTTTATGGATGAGGATGCTTCTATGGAAGCTTCTCCCTCATCTTCTTCTCATGAGGGTTTGCCCCCGCCAGGGTTTTATGTAGCTCATTTAGGGAAAAATCTTACATGTTCGAACTTGGTTTAGATTCAGGTTGACGACGCATGGTGCCAAGACACAAGACAAGCAATAATGGGTTGGTGTCTCGATAATACAAATCCTCTCGATGAGAGGATTATTGGAGGGAGTAATTTTGGGCTCTGCACTTCATCTCTCCATTCGGAAGCCTTAGCTTGTTTGTATGCCTTACAATGGGCATCAAATCGTAACATTCAGTCGCCTTTAATATTTACGGATTCTTATAATCTTGTCACTCTTTTATGGGGCGACGGTCGTGGGGATATCTGTTATCTATGGCTGGTGTAGCAAATACAACGTCTAGGGTCCATCTTTCAACACTGCAGGATTTACAAGGCAGATACGCAGCGTGTTAACTAGGGGTGTTCAAATCCGGGTACCCGAAAAGGCGGGTACCCAGATCTTTGGCTAGTTTGAAACGCGGCCTATGACCCGACCCAAGAAAACTGGGTACCCGGGTTTCGGGCACCCATTTTTCTCGAGTCAGGTCATAAGGTACCCGATTCTTTTGGCTATTTTTTAAAAATTGCTCTTTTTACACAAGTTCTAATACGAAGTATAGCTTTTTCTTCCATCTTCTGTGACCAAACTGATCGAAAACATTGTACGACCCATTTGTTTATTTGAATTAAATCCATCATGTCATTAAAACCATCATCATATGATAATAATTTTCTAATTAATAAAACAATAAAAGAATAATAAATTACTTAACCAAATTCGAATACCCAAAGTTATCAAACCAAAATAATCAAATGACCAATTGACTATATTGGTAAATAAAAAATATCCTACGCGACAATTTGGTAAATAAATTATTTCGGCGACAATTTGGTAAAAAAAGCTAACTTAAGCGACAATTTGGTAAATAAAATAATCTCAGGTGATAATTAACCTAAAAAATACAAAAATATCCAATAAGTTACTCGCGAATGCTTAATTTAGTTCATTTTTCTTGTTTTTTTTTTACCAATCCTTTCTATGGAAATAACAATTTGAAGAAAAAAAAATGTTAAGTATCAATTTTCACTTGAGTTTCATACCCCTTATTAATGAATTTTTTTTAAAAGGGGTTGGAAATAAAAAGGGATGACTTATTAATTAAGAATTTTAAATGGGAAAAATAAATATAAATTAAATTAGGATTTTTAAAGAGATTTTTGGAAAAAAAAATAGATTTTTGGGTCTAAATGTAGCTTAAACTTATTATTTTTACCAAATTGTCGCATATGGTTAGCTTTTTTTTACCAAAATTATCGCCGAATTAAGTTTTTTTACCAAATTGTCGTTAGAGGTCTTTTTTATTTACCAATCTGGTCAATTGGCCATAATCAAATTCAAGCATAAATTTCAAACTATTACCCCCTAATGATGACAAAACCACAATTAATTATTAAAGAAACTAATGAAATCAACTTAAATTGATAACTACAATTATAATTGTCCGATTGACCCCTAAAAATTAATTGAAACAAGGTACTTTGGTAGGACCCGTGCGCAAATCCGTCGGACATCAACGAGCGGCCGCCGGAGAGGAGAGGAGATGAGATCTAAGAACTTGTGACCTATGATCAGAATAAATAACGAGCAAAAGGCTCAAAACGAAACAAAGGACTAATCGGAGAAGACGATTCCCGTACCTCGCCTTGGAGAAGATGATGCTCGCGCCTCGCAGGAGAAGACGTTGCTGCCGTGATATGGTGAAGGTTTGAGAAGAGGATGTGAGGGAGTGAGGTAAGAATGAAAGTTGTTGAACCTCCATTACTCCATTAGAGCCTTACTAGAATTAAAAATGGAAGAGAGAGAAGAAAGGAAAGAGTGCAATTAGGTGCATAGCTGCTATTTGTTAGCAATGCATATAGAATGGCTAACCGGTAAATTCACTTCATTTTTGTGATTTTTTATTACTACAGTGGTATTTTTAATGTATTATTATACTTAGAGTGATATATTTAATGTAATATTATACGTATATTTTACACTATTAGAATATAAGTTGTTTTAGTAGTATTATTTATAGCCATAATAAGTAATAATGGTACAATATTTGTAACACTAGGAAAAAAAAAAATTCATTACTCTTTTGTTTTATAGCTGCTATTTACTTACGCCAATACTTAACCAGAAGATTGAACTAAGAAATGAAGGGGTGGCTGCAAGTCAGTAAACCCTATCTTTATATTTAGGTTAACTTATATACAAGTATATTGTACTTAAAAAAAAAAAAAAAAGTAAAAAAAAAAAATTCGGGTCAGGCGGGTACCCGAGTAACTCGAGGTCCGACCCATGACCCGACCCGTGACATGAAGATTTTACCGGGTCGGGTACCCGGCCCAAAAAATTGGTAAAATTTTTCAAAATACCCGTCGGGTATTATACGGGTCATCGGATAGTCAGATCGGATCAAGCGGGTCGGGTTTTTTTAAACAGCCCTAGTGTTCGCAGGACTCACCAAATTGAGGAGAGGCTGCAGTCCTTTTTATTTGCCTTAGTAGTAGTGTGTATTAGTGGTTTTTTTTAATTAACCTTTGTAAAAAATTAATAATAAAAAAAATAAAATAAAAATTATTGTCATTCTAATTATAATTTGGTGAATTAAACTACAAGTTACTAAACACATTTACACACCCATAGCTCATTAATGTGCACGTGATAATATAAACTCCTTAGATTCATAGATTTAATTAATTTTTTGTAAAAGATATTACAATATGGTAATATCTTTTCATCTCTTTTTTAAAAGGGAGTCAAGGAGACAATGACATGGGATTTGGAGAAGTTTAGAATTTAAGCAAAGTTAGAAATCGAGAAATACAAGTGATTATTCAAATTAGTCATTATTCTTCATCTTTTATCATTTCTTGCCTTCTTGGGCCAAGTATCTTCATCATAACGAATATAAATGATGTTTCGTTAAGGTTTTTGTAATGTTATATGATCTTCTTTAAGATGTAGTTGTCGTTTATTAGTTGTATGTTTTGTTGTATTGCTGCCTTTTGTTATATGATCTTCTTGTTAAGTTTTTCGTAATGTATATGATTTCACATAATAAAATAATAATCTAATTTATATTACAATCTTATAATTCTAAGTATTTTTCAACTGCATGCAATGTTTTAATTCTTTGCACTATATTATATACTATTAATTATACTTTATACTTTTGAATTTGTGTTAACCAATTATATAGGTAAGTCTATTATGAATTTTTTTTTTTAAATGTGAGTGGATACTACTTGTTATATAAGAAAATAAAAATTCTACAGTAATTATCTTTAAAATGACTCATAATCCCTTAAAAAAAAATGACTATCATAACTTGTGGCGCGTTTTTATTGGCAGAAGTTTGACATGCATGGAATTTCCTTTATATTATTTATTTATCTATCTTAAAATTAATTAAAAGTGATTTTCTAATTTTTTAAATTCAATTATAAATTTTAAAATGAATTATTATAATTTCTGAAAATCTGTTTTTATTTTCATAATTATTTTTCAAAATTCTATTTTTTATATTATTGAAGTTAAAATTAAAATTTTGTTCTTTATTTTTCTTCATTGTGCTTCAATTCAGGAGTAAATGGTAGAGGTGAAGTAATAAAGTATGTACATGTAGTAGATTAGAGTAAGAAGAAGATGATTATGTGTGGAAGTATGGGGAAATGAATGCAGATATGTAGAAATGGAAAGTAGTTAAAAGTAGAAATATGGAACGAAGGTAGTTTAGTATTATGATACGATCAATAGTTTCTATAATTAATTTCTCTATATTATTTGATTAAAGAATAAATACATACGAAGTAAAATTTTAGAAAGCAATAACACTACATAAAGACCTTAAGATTGGTTTTTATACTATATTGTCTAATTTAATACTTTGATCTGGCATTTTGCTTCCAAATAGACATCATACCCTAGTCGAGCGTATCATAATCTACGATTCATAACCTCATATGTATCAGAGCATGTAAATTATTGAGTGGGCCATCCAATTTATACTCTTTACTATTACAAATTCTTCTATGCACCCTGGTCCATGGACCACCTATGCACCACTACGAGAATACATCTTTACTCCTTCCCGCCATCTTTACTTTTTTTTCTTTTTTTTTTAATCTTACCTCTTTTTATTTCTTTCTTGATTTTAATTCATTCTTTTTTCACATGCTTATTTTCTCTCTCATATGTCCTCTGATTTTTTTTCCTATTAATTTCTTCCATTAATCTTTTGCATTTAACGTGATGGACCTAGTCGAAATTCCTGAAGAGATCAATCCAGGTTAGTTTTTATGAATTCATTGTGATCAATATTAATTTTTTTTTTATTTTGAGATGAATTGTGGATGAAATCATTGTTTTAATATCAATTAAATTTGTTGAAGCTAATCCGATCGATTTCAATTCGTAATCGATTATGATCGATTAATTGATTGTTTTCATTTGATTTTTTTCATTAATTTGTATGAATTTGATTGTTTTCATTAATTTGTATGAATTTTCTATTAATTAATTTTTTCAATATTAGTTCGATTTGCTGAATATTGTCATTGCTGAATATGATTATTTGAATATTTGAATGTTATTTTTAATTTCTAATTGATTATAATTGATGAATTCATAATTAATTTTAAATTCTATGCTCATTATTTGATTGATGAATGTGTAATTTGAATCTAATTTTACTTGTAATTTATAATGTGAACTCGATATTACGGTTTTTTTTTCTTTTTTTTTTTAATAAATCAATTCAACAGTTTAATTATGTGAACAATTAATGCTGAATGTTTGAAGACTTTGTATATTATGTACATTCTTCATGTTTATTATGAACATATTTGTTATAATAATGAATGTTTTTAATATTCGTTGTTATTTTTTATATTTCAATTAGTAATATGCAGTTGATTATGTATTATAAACATCCTGACATTTATTATGAACATATAGTTTTATAATTATGAACATTGTTAACATTTGTCGTTTTCTTTATTATTTTTCAGTCATTTTTTTTGTTAAAGCCAAACAGTCTGAGTTATTCATGAAACAAGTTACATGTGATGATAAAGCATATGATTTGTACAATGATTATGCTTTTAAGTTTGGTTTTAGTATAAGGAATAAGTCGAAATTAAGAAGAGTTGGTCAAACTATTGTTCGGCGGAGTAGGAAATATCTATGTACAAATGCTCGTTTGAAAGATCATTCTAAGAGGGATGTTAGGAGATTTGAGAAATTGAGTGGTCGTACAGATTGTAAAGGTTTTGTTGAGTTTGTTATTGATGATAAGGGTATGTGGACTGTTTCACAATACAATTATATGTTAAAATTGTTTGACAAAACAATTGATGTTTAGATTTTTTCTATAATTGTTTTTGATAATTTATTTTAAAATTCATTTACATTTAAAAATGTATACAACAATACTTTGAACTTCATTTTATAATCATTCACATTTTTATATGTATGTTTTTACGATTATGAACTTTATTTAATAACATATGAACATAATAGACAAGAAAGATGAACAAATTCTGAATTATGAAAATCACATGTTCATAATAAAAAAAAAAAAAATTACACTTGTTCCAAATTCATGTAAATCATGACAACCACACTTATAAAAATAAAATAAAATGAAAAGCACACTTATATCAGTTCAGAATCCCAGTTTCTTAATAAAATTAAAACCACGGTTGTCTTAGTTCTCAATCCAAAATTCAACTTAGTTTGTCTCTTCTTGCTTTCTCTTAGCAGCCATTCTCACTCTGTACCCTTCCTTGTTGGATGCACTAAGTATAAATTCAGCACAATATCTTACTCTTAGCTTCCTTATTTGATCAACTGGAAATCAATAATATGAACAATTAACATATTATGAACAATTTATGTTTATTTATGAACAAATGAACCAAAAGAATGTTTTAGTTTGAATTCTTACATCATTAGCCTTCATATCACAAGTCCACTCTTGCACAGGGTCTGCTATGTATGTGTCCATGTGCTTAATCAAGTAAACACCACAATTCTTATGGTCCCAATTGCTTCTTCATTTCATTAGTAATTAAAAAATGAATATTGTTAAATAGAAAATGAACACTAAGCTTTCTCAGAAATTTGACCAAAAGCATCACTATTTAAAAATGAACATTAAGTAAATAAATTAGGAACATAACTAAAATGAAAATGAACACTAAATTTCAATTTATTTACCCAGTAGTTGTCTCCGTAAAAGGCTCTACAACTTTCTTAGAAATTTGATCAGAAGCATCCCTATTAAAAAATGAACACTTAGTAAATAAATAATGAACATAGTTAAAAAAAAAAAAAAAAATGAACATAAGGCAATTTTTAGTTACCCAGTAGTTGTCTCAATAGATTGTTTACTGCTTTCTGATTAGAAATTTGACCAAAAGCGTCTCTATTTAAAAATGAACATTAAGTATTTAAATAATGAACATAGTTAAAAAGAAAATGAAAATTAAACTTCAAATTATTTACCCAGTAGTTGTCTTTGTAGGAGGCTCTACAGCTTTCTCATAAATTTGACCAGAAGCACCACCCCTTTTATGTACCCAGTAGTACATAAATAATGAATTTTACTGAAAAAAAAAATGAACATAAGGCAAATTTTAGTTACCCAGTAGGGTGTCTCTGTAGGTTGCTCCTCAGCTTTCTTAGAAATTTGTTCAGAAGCAATTCTATTAAAAAATGAACACTAAGTTAATAAATAATGAACATAGTGAAAAGAAAAACGAACACTAATATGAATTTACTTACCCAGTAGGTTATTCTATAACTTTAAGGGTTTGTGTAGGATTTTCTTCAGTATTATCTCTGTGAAAAAATGAATACTAGGTAGTAAACTATGAACTTACGTAAAATTATAACGAACATTAAGTTTTATATTATTTACCCGGAAGGTTTCTCTTTATCTTGCTTAGTACTTCGTCAGAACCATCTCTATAAAAATTGAAAAAAAAAACGAAAAAAAAAAAACGAAGTAATTAACGATTTTGTAAATTATGAACATAAAGGGTAAAACTATGAATAATAGTAGTTTCTTAAATTGATTTCTGAGTAATAGATCCAAGTAAAATTATGAACATGAAGTGTAAAAATATGAATACTAGCTGTTTTTTTTTAATTTATTTCTGAGTAATAGCTCCAAGTAAAATTATGAACATGAAGGGTAAAAATATGAATACGAGCAGTTTTTTTTAATGAACATAAGAGTACAATATATGAACATTTTTATAAAAATGAACGAACATGCTTGTTATCACCTTCGACTTGTTTATTTAAATCATCCAATCTGATCTACAATTGGACTCTTAACACGATTTTTCCCTTCTTTTTCCTTTGAAAAGTTGAGAAAGTATTCTGTTAAATGAATTTGGGCTTTTATGTTAAAAATACAACTTTATAAAATCCACAAAATAACAAAGTCAAAAGTAAAATAGTTACATTTAACTAAATTTTTACTTACGCTTTGTCTTCATCTACAATATTTGTTGTTTGTTTTGATTTTCTACACCAAAATAAATTAAATGACACAACAAATTAACCTAAAACAAGTAAACTCTAACAAACCTAAACAATGTTAATATAATTCCAGCAATTATGTAAGACATTTAATTCATCCAAGATATTTAATTCACTAATTTTTCAAAATTTCAGTAAAAAAATAACAAACTACTACTCTTAAAACAAATTATTACTCTTAAATTCAATAGAAACTATATAAATGTTCATACGAAATCACCTTTTTTTTTTTTTTTTTTTTTGAGAATTCGGTTGATTTTGGTATTCTTCTTGAATATACATAGCTATGGCGGTTTTATGGGGGAAAACTTTAGAGAGGAGAGAGAATGTGAGTTGATTTAAGTTGAAGCAAGTGGAAAAAGCTTCCTATTTAATCTGTGACAGTTTTTTTTTTAATATTATTTGTTAGTGGCGGTTGAGGAAAATAGGAGAGAAGAATGAAGTTGGGCCTAGGTTTTCAGCGGGACATTAAATTTGTAGCGCGTATGGGCTTTGGTCTAGCTAGAAAGGGTGCACAATAGACTTAATAGTTAGTATTGGCTAGACTCGCGCCCAGCCAGATGGTTGATCCTGTGATCAGAAAAGAACATTTACTATAATAAAATTGAATATTTTCTAACTGAACATATTTTACAATTTTGTTCATTATAAAATCAATATATGTTCATTCTCATATGTTTTATGTCACTTGTGAAAATTTACTACTGAAGAGTATATTAATAATGTTCGGGTTAATATTAGCAAAATGTTCATAATCATAATATTGTATGTTTATTTGTATATCACGTTAATAAAAAAATTATTTATTTATTTATTTATTTCAATTTTCAAAAATATAAAATTAGATGTTCAAAGTATTACGGATGCTTTGTATTTCTCAATAATTAAATGTTCATTTTCATGCAATATGATGTTCATTCTTATAAAACATATGTTCATTTTCATGCAGTATGATTTCATTTGAAGTTTAAAAAATTGTTGATGAATAAGTAACAACATTATACGTTCTTTTCTTATTTACAATTGAAATGTTCAGTCATATAATATTAGATGTACAATTTTTTTTTCTTTTCAGTTTCATAGTCTCTTTATTTTACTCTTATATTATAAATGTTCATTTTTATATATTGCAATGTTAATTTCAAGTTTTAGATATTTCTTTCTTTTGATTTGGAATTCATTTTTCATTTTAAACAAAAAAGTGTTCATTGTTATTCAACGAAATATTCATCTCAATTTTCTGATATACATTTGCAATTTCAATGTTAGTTTTCAAATAAATTCAATTACTAAATGTTAATTTTTTTTCTAGTAAATGTTCATTTTTCTTGGGGAGAACCAACCACTTTTCAGATATGTTAAATGTTAATTTTTTTTTCTAGTAAATGTTCATTTTTGTTGGGGAGAACCAACCACTTTTCAGATATGTTCAATTACTACATGTTCATTTTTGTTATAGTAAATGTTCATTTCTAGTCGTGAGACCAGCCAGACTGAGCGTGAATCCAGCTTAAAATTTGCGGTGGACTTATTGTTTACTATTAAAGATATCCAAGCAACCTTCGGCTATTAGTCGAGCTTATTATTGGGCTTGTATATCTCTATTCTTAACAATTTAGTGAATTTACTTGCGCCTTTTTTTTTCTTTCAATAATGTAATGCGAACGTGACTCAAGTGGAGTAGCTTTTACATGAGTACCACTATTGGGCTTGTATGGACGTGATTAAACTAGAGTCTACAACAGATTGCCAAGAGCTGTGGTATTAGAGCTGATGGTTCATATGGGATAAACACATATAACACGAAACTTAATGGGTGACTTGGTTCTAAAACACGTGGGTGCAGAGTGATGTGGCTCGGTGACGTGGGTACATGTCTTCGGTAGTGTTGTGTGGAATACTAAAGAATCTATGGTAAAGGGTTACTTGTATGCCTAGAATATTATTGATCAATAGGTAAAGTATTTATACAAAATCTACACTTATAATATAGGAAACAATATTTCTAAAAGATATACAATTATAAATTCATAACCATATATCCTAAAGATATATTCACTAAATAATATCTAAACATATATTGATTAGGGGATTTTTATCCACCAATCACCATCTGACAAGTGGACCAGTCAGGTACCGCCATGTGTCCGCCACATGGGCCAATAGGAGCCTCCCACGTGTCAACCATATATTCGTCCTCCATGGACCAATTGTGACATGACACGTGTCCATTCATGCCATAAGGATAAATCAGCCAACAAGGCCCAATCTTTGGGAAGCCCAGTCAGCCTTAGGTTTAACCTAAACCTAGTATTGGCACGCATCCCAAGGAATATAAATATGCCCATTAATCCTCATTAAGGGGGGAGGGACGCACATTTAACACTCTCCCCTAGAGAGACTAAATTACATTTCCGCATTAATTATTCTTTAATCAAGTACTAACTTGACCGTTGGAGGCGGATCTCCAATCATCCGGAGCATCCGTTTGTTTTGCAGGTACAGGCGTCCGGTTCCAGTCTCGAAATTGTAACTCTCCCGCAGGACATCAGAAAACCCCGAAACATCTTGGCGCCGTCTGTGGGGAGAGTACTTTTGAGATGGCATCCACGTCTGTACCGACTCCTGAAGAGAGGCGTCCCTTGGACGACCCTCAAGTTCAGTCGGACCATGATACTAAAGAAGAGTTTGAAGTTGAAGCTCATACAGCTTCAGACGGGACCCTAAGGGCCCGGCGCACCCGTCATACCGAAAGGAGAGAACGGGAAGATCCTCAAACTGGACTCAGTGATCCAGTCGGCGCACCGTCTGCTCACCAGCAGCCGGCTGACGGATCTGCTCCCATTACAAGGACCGAACTCATGACCTTCATGAGGGGCTTCAAGGGAGAGATTCAGGAGCTGATCAATAAAAAGACGCCTGCTCTGGTCAAGGAGCAGTCGGCTAAGAAACCTTCCTCTTCAGGGAAGAGGAAACCTGTTCAAGGGCGAGAGGCGACCCCTCATCCTAACTCTAGGAAGTGGGAGCCGCCTGTCCTTGATTTCACAAAGTATCGCTTTCCTTCTCCAGGAAAGAGGAAACCCGTTCGTCATATTCAGGCGGATGGGTCGAAGAAAACATACACAGACGCTCGGCTATTGCTAGAGCAGAAGAAGAATGACCGACTGTCAGAATCGGCCTCTACTTCGGATTTTCAAGACAGTCTACGCAATAATTTTATGAGGTATACTCAGTCACATCATGAGAGTCAGACAGGCGGTACCTCCCGTCAGTTTAGTTTTCATAGTGACCAGGCGGTACCAAGCTTACCATTTGTACCATGACAACAATATTTCTTGCAGCCACCTCTGTTTGGAGGACATGCGGCAAAAAATGTCCAACCTATGGACTGGCAGCTACGGTTGCTTCGACTTGGGGAACAGCCGTCGGCATTCTCCAAGGAAATTACTGAAGCCGCTCAGCCGGCCAAAGTGAAAAATGTGTTAGTAGGCGCCTATGACGGCACTACTAACCCAGAAGACCATTTGATGGCATTCACCAACCTGATGTACCTTCAAGGCTTGGATGATCCCACTTGGTGCAAGTGTTTTCCAGCGACTCTTAAAGGAATCGCACAACAATGGTTCGGCAACCTACCGACTGGTTGTGTGAATAACTTCAGGACGCTTGCTTACTTATTCACCTCCAACTTTGCCATGAACATACCTGCGAAGAAAACAACCCTTGATTTAGGGACAATTCAGCAGGGTGAGAAGGAGGGGCTTCGTTCTTACATCAGGCGGTTTAACCTGATGAGAATACAGATTCAAGGGCTACCGGATGAGGTGGCCTATACTGACTTTTTCAGAGGCCTCAAAGACGGGTCGACCTTCAAGTTTGATCTGGTTCGAAAGAGGGTGGCGACTCTTCAAGAAGCTTTGATTGAAGCAGAAGCCTATATACAGGCAACTGATCTTTGTAGTACGGGAAAACAGTCGGACGGGAAGAGCTTCGACAAAAAAGGACGACAGAAACAGTCGTCCAACAAAGATGAGAAAAAGAGAAAAGAGGTCAGGGCGGCTGATTCCTCTAAACAGCCGGCCCAGAAAAAGAGGAAAGAATTCAAACCATACTCCCCGAAGTATGCGTTTAACAAGGATAGCCAAGCTATCCTAAAGGAAATCAAGGGACGGATCTCAATTGAGAAGCCGGCCCCCATGAAGGGTTCTGCGAGCAGTCGGAACCAAGGAAAATTATGTGATTATCATGAAGATGTTGGTCATGAAACCAACGAATGCATCAGTCTCATGCGATATCTGGACCGCCTGACTGAGCAAGGCGATCTTGACTCTTATGTCAAGAAATCCAAGGGGAACTCTTCCTCGAAAAAGCAGTCGGTCAAAAAGAATCAACAGGCCGACAACTCTGATACAGATGATGCAGTCGTCTACACCATTGCAGGCGGTTTCTCAGGAGGCGGCCCCACTATTAGGGGCAACAAAGACAATATCAGGTGGCTAGACGTCAATACCGTTCACCAAGAACGATCCTCCACATATTCATTTTCTGAAATTGTAATCACTGAAGAAGATTTAGGAGGGGTAAGAGGGCCGCATGACGACCCTATTGTTATTGAATGTAAAGTGGCCAACCAGAGGGTTGGCCGAATCCTCATAGATACCGGCAGCTCCTCAGATCTTATCAGTAGCAAATGTCCGTCAAAGCTCAAATATCAGACTAATTGCATACATCCGGTATCCCACCCTCTAGTAGGGTTTGGAGGAGGAGGAGTCCACCCAGTGGGACGAGTGGATTTACCCATCCGCCTGGGTGAAAAAGGGGAAGGTCGACACATGGTGGTCCGGTTCTTGGTAGTTGAGGAACTCTCGGCCTACAACATGATTCTGGGACGACCAACCCTGAATAATTCCAAGGCTGTTATAA